GGTGGTTTTTATAAGTGGTTCCAGATGTTTTTGCCCATGGTTAAGAGATGCCAAGTTTTTTGGAAGATGTTCGCAGCCAAAACGCATTCTTCCGTACGTCGCATTTCTGTGTAATTTCGCATGTGGTGTTGCATTATGTCCGGGATGATGCACGTCTTTTTATTTTTACCGTAGCTGTTTTGATATTGAAGTAAATGCATATTTTAGAAACATCCCTACTTTTACAATCCTGTGGAATAGGCCGTAGGTTTAGGCAGTTGTCTGGTAGCAGAGGTACTCTAAGCAGATATCCTGGTTATCTGGCCGGCGGTAGTAACACTCGCGGTGCTTACCGAAACTGTTGCTGGAATTTGGCCTGTTCCAGGCGCGCTTAATTAGGTACAGGCACGGTAAAAGACGGTGGGGCTGTCTTTGTTACTAGACACGACCATGATAGTCCGATCTTTATGTGAATGCAATGATTGAGGGTCTGCATGGGGGGGGGGTCCTGGCAACGGTTAACGGTAAATTAAGCAGGACCGATAACGCTTAACGGTAAATTCAGGACGGTCGGCAACGCTTAACGGTAAAATGATAGGCATTTTTTTTCGAGCTGCACTAGCACTGGACTTGGTATCCTCGCTTTGCGAGAAAAGGTGATCACTGACAAAATTACGTATACCTTACATGTAATGAAGCACGCATTAAAGGTATGTGTTCCCTGTGTTTCCCACCTGCCCTGGTCCCGGAGCGGTCCACAAATAAAGGGGAGTACGAGTCGGCCAGGGCTCTACCCAGCTTGACTTTTGCCCGGCCGCCCAGTCTTACCGATGGATTTTGAGAGAGGAGCGCCGAAGGCGCTGGCAATCTGAGGGGGTCCGGGAAATTTAGGATTTTTAAGCCTTCAAAAACGCAATTTCCCGCAGTTTGAGAGGCAAATTATGGTGTTGAGAGTGTTTGACGGTACGCGGTCTTTCTGATGCTTTCTTATTTTTACTCAAGATATCCAGCGAGTCGAGTGCCAAAGGCGCGAGCAATGTAGGGGGGTCCGGGGGCATTCTCCCCCGGGAAATTTTGGATTTTCAAAGGCAAAATTAGGCGTAACGAAGAATTATTCTTTAACACTTAACGCTGAATTTAGGATGACAAATAACGTTTTACGTTGAATTAAAACGACCCATAACGCTTCACGATGAATATACCGATAACGCTTAACGTTGAATTAGAGCGGGCCCGCAACGATTAACGGTGAATTAAAATAGCCCATAACGGTTAACGAAAAAGGGCATGCAGGCCCTCATGATTGTGTGTGTGTAATTAAAATGAACTTCGAACTTGAAGCACAGTATCTTTACACGCCCTGGGAGCAGTAATGGATTTAGCTCTTTGTATGTTTTATGCTTGTGACGCGCCCTCATTGTATTAACCGTTGCCTAATTATAATGTCTGCACAGTAGGTCTGGCGTTGACGCTTGGGATTTTGTTGAAATATATAAAACTTCACGGAGGATTGTTACCTATGGCTTCTTGTTTTGATTTTGGGTCTGAATTCGATTCTGCACATCCTAAACTCTAGCGACCGTCTCTTTCAGGAAATAATTCTAAAGCCAAAACATTTTATTTGCAAATGGAGGATATCCCTCTAGTTACGAAAACAATAGAATTTCAATTTCTTTAACCTCTCAAACTTTTAAAATTTTAGGGGGAAAAGGATTTTTCGATGGAAAATGATGCCAAAAATTGGCCATTTTCACGTTCAATTAAACCCATCACTCATAATCTAGCCACCAAAATGACTTATATTGTCGGAAAGAGAAAACCCTTATGTGTTATCAAGAAAAGTATTAAGAAATTCCTAACACTGAGATTATCACAATAGCCCGTCGCGCAAGGCATAGCGACAGCACCACCAGAACGCATAAAAGGCATACTAGTATTTGGGTCAAACCGAAGCACCGCACTCAGGGCGGAAGGACACCCGGAAGTAAGCCTCGGGCCCGAAATCAATTTTCACCCCAAACACGCCACTTCTTACACTTTTCAGCCATGTTAGTAGTTAATGCCATTTTTCAGCAGATTATGAAAAAGGTGAACTCAAACATGAACCATGGAAACCCCTTTGTCACTTTTTTTACCGCACCGACTACCCCGGATTGGTGCGCACGAGTGTGCACTGCGTGGAGGTTTGGACACTTGATACTCTCAAAGTCAACTACCTATTTTTCTGACAGTAATTCTCCAAAAAGTAGCGACAATGGTACTTACAGAGCAGTTCTTGTGTGAAGCTGTCAGGAGGGTTGACGTACTTCATGGTAGATGTGTCCAGCTTCCAGTTGTGCTTGGTACATCGCACAACGCTGTGGAAAGTGGGGTGGGCGGGTGTGGGGTTAGCCAGTCACATTCCTCTTACGATTTTTAAGCAAGACTACGAGAGCTGAGTTTGTTCGACACTTCCTATTAAGATATAGCCGTAGATTTTCTGTCGTGAACCCGTCATATGACGTGACGGGGACTAACAGCTATAGGGGCGGTTTGCGTGACAGGAAAATGGCCTGCATCAGATGTGGTTCCTAGCTGGTCATCAAAGTGGTTTGGACATCATCTAAATTCCACGTCTTCGTGACATCATCTAAATTCCACTACACATTCCATCTGGACTTTTACTTCAAGAACAATTATCATCATGATATGTACTTTCTGTTTTTTAATAATCTAATAATCATGTAGTGTAGGCATGTTTAAGTTTGCGATCATCCGGGGGTGAAATCATCTTGCTCATTGTGTTTTTCTTACTTGCATGTGGCATCTTCAATGTCTTTCACAAAGACTCCGCGTTGATGTCTGCAAACGTTGCGACAAGCCTTGTACGGATCCTCGGGACGAGTAGGATCCTACAAGATACAATTGTAGAACCAAATGAGGCAGAATCCTGACCTTTCAAAGTATGTTTTCATTGTACATTCCTTTGCACAGAAAAAAAAACACGCTCAAACCGATCGGATTGCTTATCCTAACATTTTGACTGTGAGTTTATATTTTCTCTTGAGGTTTTCCATTGCACACAAACATACCTTATAAATGATGAAGTTTCCGACGTTTTTGTTGACCAAGTTGACGCCTGGCTTCAGAGCTGCTGTCTCCTGGGCAGACAGCTGCAGGACTTCCACCGTTCGCTGCTCCATGTTTACAGTTATTACGTATGGCCTATCTCTTTCAATCCTAGTGCACTGTTGTAATGCGAAAAAAAAAAGCTTTGTTATGACCACAGAAACATAAAAAGATACTAGTATCTCGTCAAAAGGTCAACCACCTTTATCAGCAATGTGACCCCATCCCTCCAGGGCTTCAATGGCATTCAATGACAGTTCTGTTCACTTCAGTTCCACGACCCCACACAAGAAGGTCAACAGATAACACAATGCTATCGCCAAAAGGTACCAATTTAAAAAGATAATCTAAGGTTAAAATGTAAAAGATGGTATGGGTGGTAACATAGTATAGAATTAACTGTTTTCCGAACTTCCTTCATGATTGTGCAGTCTCTAATTCAGTTGTTCGATGTACTGTAAATGCATTTTTAACTCGCGAGGACTTTTTCTCGCGGTGGGTATCGGCCAGTTTGAGAGTTCGCGAGGTATTTGACTTCGCGAGTCACTGATTTTCAAATCTATCAACGCCGCCACCATGTGCCCATACGCAGACAACTTGATTCTGATTCCGTGCGTACCGCTCGGCGCGAGTTCCCGGGCCTGAGCGCACTGACCAGCCGGGCGTTTTCAAAGCACAACTTCGATTCTATCAGTAGGGTCATGGACAGAATCGGCATCACTGCACCGCCGTGAACCGTGAACAAGGCAAGACTGCGGACAGCAAATGCCGCCGCTACGTTTGATCTTCCCATTCACTAAACTTCCATAGTTCCCCTCTTTTAAATTTTCGTTACTTTTATAAAAATGTTACGCACACTGTGATCAGTATGATTCACATTAGCTGTAGAACTTATCAAAGACCATGCTGTAACCAATGGTATTATTTTTTGTACGACTGTCGGTCGGCCCTGATCGCAATCGCGAAATCTTTGAAAATTCTAAGTTGTACAAAGATAGTGCAAAATCGTTCGTTTGATTAGGGGTATTAGAGCATGAATTAACGTCCCTTCGCTGAGCACAGCCCCTGTTGAATTTAGCTTGGTTTAAAATGTGCAAAATTTGGTAAAAACAGCAGAGTACAATTAACGTACATCACAAAAACCAGTGCAGTATTTATAATAACTCCATTATAAAACATTAACGTCCCCTTTTGAGCATCTTCAGTTGTGCCAAACCTGTCAAAACATGGTGGATCTCAGCGACCCTCAAATGATCACGTCATGGTCGGTTGATCCCAGACTACTAACTTCTGTAACTACCATTACCTTCAGCCACTACCATTACCTTTGGTGTTGGTCTCTTGTAAACGCTCAACCATCTGTCTCGAAGTTCGTCTGTTGAGCTTCAGAGGCAATGAGAACTTTGATCGGGTTAGGGTTAGGGCACAAAGTACGGAGTAAACAGTTCGTTTTCGTAAGACGTTCTTTTGTGCCAGAAAGAACGGGTTGGACAAGTTAAGGAATGACATCGCGTCATTACATGAATATGTATGTCATTGCATTTACATAAACAACACGATAAGTGCCAGGTCTGTTTTTCAGCAGGCAGCCATTATTGGCAACCCTTCCCAGACGTGCGCGCCAGACTTACCTGGGATACATGATCACGTAGTAGTTAAAACTAGAGTTCCCCGATCTCATACCTTCGCCAAATGATGTTAAACTTTATGACTGACAAATTATAGATCCCCCCCCCCTGATTCAACAAATAGGATCCTCATTTTCATGACTTATTACCTTCGCCAAGAAGGTTATGTTTTCAGTAGCGTTTGTCCGTTTGTTGGTTTGTTGGTTTGTGAACAGCATAACTCAAGAAGCTTGATATGGATTGTCATGAAACTTGGTAGGTGGGTAGATCTTGATGAGACCTAGAAATGATTAGATTTTGGGCCCCCTGGCGGCTTTTGTTGGTACTGCAGCAGAACTTCTGGTTTTGATATCTCGCGATCTGGACAAGCTAGGGTCACGAATTTTGGTTGGTAGATAGCTCCTGGAGTAGGGAAGAAGTGACATGAGTTTGGGCCCCCTAGCAGCTTGTTCTGGAACTGCAGGAACATTTCTTGAAAAATCTCCGAAGGTTCATAACTCAAGAACCGGTTGACGGATTGTCATGATTTTTGGTATGTGGGTAGCTGAAGTGATGCTTCAATCATCAGATGACAATTATGCAAATCAGGAGCTAATTTGCATAATTAATGAGGAAATTCTATAAATCTGCTTCGTTCGATAATAGGACTATGAAACACGTGTGACATGTAATTGAGAATGAGAAAAACATCCGAGGATATAGATTATGTAAATGAAGACCTAATTTGCATAATTAATGGGAAATTGTTATAATTTCATAGTTGTAATTGCTGGGAATTTCATACTTGCCGTATTGGAAGTTAAGTGAAGGTGAACATGAAGATAATTTATTCACACCATGACCTCCTTTGCATAATTTATGAGGAAGTGCTTGAATAGCCTATTTAGATAAGATAAGGCTATCATTGGGTGGAGAACATGATCCATATGATGTAATCCATGCAAATGACTGTTATTTGTGAAATCAATGATTTAAAATTGTATAATTCGTCAACCGTCCATTCGTTAACATCATTTGGCGAAGGTATGAGATCGTGGAACTCTTGTTATGTAGTTATATCAGTTTATCATACTCTTAACCAAAAGAAAGTCTTATATTAACAAACAATGCAATTCTAGCGTTTCCTCATAAAGTATGCAAATGAGGTCCCAATTTGAATACATTATGCTTAATGATGTTCACCTTCTCTGAACTTTCAAATACCACAAGTATGAAATTCCAGGCATTTATCTTTACATAACTATAACATTTTCTCATTACTTATGCAAAGTAAGTCTTCATTTACATAATCAATAACTACCTGTGTTTCTCTCGTTCTCAATTACCAATCCCACAAGCTTCAATTGTCCTATCATGGAATGCAGCTGATTTATAGAATTCCCCCATAAATTATGCAAATTACATCCATATTTGCATAATTGTCACATAATTATATCAAGCATCACGTAAGCTACCTACATACCAAAAATCACGGCATTCCGTCAACCGGTTCTTGTGTTATCCTCTTTTTAATATTTTCAAACAGATAGCCCTGCAGTTCCAAGGCAAGCCGCTGGTCCTGTTTTTTGGGCCGTCTTGTTCTTTTCGCCCTATCGCATTAGATTTGGAGTCTGCGGAGGATGTCAACCATAAAATCTAGTTGCTGTGGTCTTTAAATCCAGTTGCTCAATGTATAATGCCGTAATTTTTCTGTACGACTGTCGGTCGGCCCTAATAGCAATCGCGAAATCTCTGGAAATTAGTTATAATGTTACAAAGATAGTGCAAACTCGTTCGCTTGATTAGGGCCCTCCGCTGTACCTATGGTCCTTCTTGATTAAACTGTAGCATGTAGGTCCTTCTCAGGTAGAGTCCTGGGCTTGGCGGACTGATTAAGGTGGTTTACATGGTTCAAGATGTGCGAAATTTGGTAAAACAGCAGAGTACATCACAAAAGTAAGTGCAGTATTTATAATAAGCCCATTATAAAAAAATGAACGTCCCCTTTTGAGCATCTTCAGTTGTGCCAAACCTGTCAAAACATGGTGGATCTCAGCGACCCTCAAATGATCAGGTCATGGTCGGTTGATCCCAGACTACTGACTTCTGTAACTACCATTACCTTCAGCCACTACCATTACCTTTGGTGTTGGTCTCTTGTAAACGCTCAACCATCTGTCTCGAAGTTCGTCTGTTGAGCTTCACAGGCAATGAGAACTTGTTCGGGTTCGGGCACAAAGTCTGGAGTGGACAGTTGAGACGTACGAATTGTTTCTCCCACCTCTCCGTCAAGTGCCTTGATCCATTGTTTAAACCCTTTCCGGAAAGAACCGGTTGGTCAAGTTCCAGAATGCATCGCGTCATTAATGACTCAGTTATGTAACATAAACATTACGATAAACGTCAGATCTGTCTTGAATTTAGTCAGTTTTAGGTAGCCATTATTTGTCGGCAACCCTTTCCAGACGTGCGCGCCAGACATACCTGGGATACATGATCACGTAGTGGATTGAATTAGATATATTGTGGCAGAACCCATCCCACCAATTCATCACCTCAAGCAACCATTACCTGCCATTTATCATTCTTGGTAAATCTCACTTTTCATACATGTGTATGTCATTTTAGAGATTTCACCAAAGCTACGTACCTTCTCAGTCTAATATTTTATGTCTTTCAGCAATCTTCGGGGTCGCCATTCTTGAGCATCGGCTGGAGCAGTTGGGCCTGGCAGTTTTGGCACCCGATTAAGCCGTTTAATTGAATGCGAAAATTTGGTCAAAAGTAATCGTACGCTGATGTAGAGTCCATTCCGCGTCACCGAGTGGGTTGTTATTGTCATTATTTACAAATGTTTTGAATTCTTTGTAATTGTTTGTCTAAGAAATTTCATAATTTGGAAATATTTTGAACATCTTGTCAATATTCTAAATAATTCCCTGGTTTTCTAAAACGTTTGAAATATTCCTGATGTGGATTATGACGTTTCCAATAGTTTCTAAATATTTCTAACAGCACTCTACCATTTTTTACCATTATTTCGAATTATTTCTAACATTTTGTAAATAGGTCAGTGGGATGGGAAGAGAGTAATTCACACATCCCTGTGAAGTACAGGGTAGACTGCCTGGGTGTCAGGCATTGATGCCTTACAACAAAAGAGCCACCAGTGTCCAGCAGTGAAATCTAAAAATATACAGAAGAATACAGAAGAGTAGGATTAGCACCTACTTTTATGGGGGCAATTACCCACATCTACCATTTTTCATTTGTTTGAAATAGTTCTAAATATTTCGAATAGTGAAAGAAACAAATGGGTAGTTCAAATTTATTCTAAATAAAGAGATCTTTGTACAGTCACTTTCAAAATGTTTCAGAAAATTTTCATTTTCAAATTTTTGAAAAATTTAGAACTTTTGTTACTAGGGTATTCTTTTCTTCTAAATAATTCAAACGTATTAGAAACATAGAGAAAACACCCACTCGGTGATGCGGAATCGACTCTAATAATAACACTAAGTAGCCAAATTACTGATTACTGCAAGTTACCTTACATTAGCGGCGCGGGGATATATTTTCGCGGTAGGAGGGCAAATGACGTGTTCGCGGTGAGCATAAGGCTATGTTGATTAATAATATGGATGACATCCTCTGGGAACTGATGCGAGCGTGCGAATAAAAAAGTTTGACAACAAAAGTACGTGGTAATGAAGGTTGAACAAATGACTAAACACACGTGTATACTATGGCGAATAATAGACATTTTCATTTCTTAACATTTTTTTTCTTTTCCTGTATGGCGAATAACAGACATTTTCATTTCTTAACATTTTCTTCTCTTCCTGTAGATCTATGGCGAATAACAAACATGTTCATTTCTTAAAATTTTCTTTTCCCGTATGGCGAAGAACAGACATTTCATTTTTTAACATTTTCTTCTTTAATAGACTCTTCATTTTCACTTCTTAACATATTTTTCCATTCCTTTAGAACTGATGTTGGCATTGTCTACGACATTAGTGTCGTTTTCCAATATTTATATTGCAATTTACGGCATATAACCTCATTTTGCAGCTACTTTGTACGATTTACAGTATGGTCGAAAACATAATATATGCATCGTGATGTTAACTTTTGATTAACTTACAAATGTCCCAAGTATGACATTCCCATCATTCACCATTAAGAAATTATAGAATTTTCGCATTAATTGTGCAAATTAGGCCACATTTGCATAATTAGTATCTATTGATGTTCCATCTGCCATAGGTTACATACATTACATGTAATCACTAATACGTGTACTTGTTAAAGATAAAATATTGTGAGAATTCTTAGTCTATAATACGTTCATTAACTACAGAGAGAACACAACTACAGAGAGAACACAACTACAGAGAGAGAGAACACAATTGCTCTGGTACAGATACTGATGAATAGTTTACAGATATGTGTCATCAACCTCTGTATATTTGCAGTGATGCCCTTTATTGACGACTTCATAGTACAAGGCCGAGGGGTGGACGGTAATCTTGAGGGATGATGATGAACTGAAGACGGCTCCCGATTTGTTCCATGGGTTGTAATGCAGAATCAAAAGACCATGCAGAATCCAGACTGAAGCGAATTACCGACAACACTTGGACCACCACCCTACTCATGACCTCTCAACTATGACATCTTCAAGAACAACCATAGAACCGGTTAGACATAGTTGTCGAGCTGAGTCTCTCTTTGCTAAACTATACACACACAGTTTTTGTATTGCTCCCTTACTGTATATTCTTTCGAATGCTCGTCACTCAGTTGCGTGGAGTCTTCAACGTTTTTCATACGCTGTAGTTTGTACTGAAGACCGCTTCACCGCCATTTGACTCAGTTGATTTCACCTCCCGCACTGCCGGCTGTTTGTCTCTGTCCTGCCCACAACAACAACAGCATCCCAGTACTAGGAATAGCACAGACAGACACAGAAAGACAATCCCGACTATCAGAAATGGATTATCGTGAGCGCCTCTTGTGATCCCAAGAGCAGTAAAGATACCACCCTGTATCAAAAATATTACGCCAACGATGAGGGAACACACAGGGATGCATATGGCCCATGATGTACAGTTGTGTGAAGAGCTCTGTCCGCTCCCGTCACCCCCGCTTTCACCCATGGCGGCTAGATGTCCACTCGGCTCGCTTTCGGTGGTAAGATACCGTCTGGAGGACTGAGCAAACAGGTTGGGGTGAACATGAACTGCCCACGATCGGATTGAGACGTGTGTCACTGTGTCAATTACTGAATAACACAGCTGTTACGTCATTTCCGCGACCCACCTACATAGTCATGGCGGAGTATATTAAGAATTACCTGTAGGGAGACCGTGAACATACGGGGAATCATCCATATGACGTGTACTGTCCCTGCCGGTGGTCCTTCAGCGTCCAAAATAAGAGATATAACGTTACCGGAGAACCTACGGCGATGGCAAAAGTCGAAATAGTAAAAAGGCCGCTAAAAGAAATAATTTGTTCTTACAATATCCCCTATAACATTCAATCATTCGGTTATCAACTGGTTAATTGACCCATACATGATTACAGATGATTATAATAGGTGTGGTTGTCTACCACACCTTTCCGGCTCCAAAATCTACATGCGAGTCAGAAATAGAGCATCCAGAATAGCCTGGGTACCATCTGGATGTTGGCTCCGCAACGCTCGAAAAAAATTTTTTCGCGAGTTGATGAGCCAAAATTCGGACGGTACCCAGGCTACGTTCAGAACAGAAGGTACGTACTGTATAAGGAGCACATCGGGATCACTCTAAAATTGGTCGGCTGAAATCTACGAGTATTTCTAATAGTGCACAAGGATATCACCACTCAGCAATAAAGTTTTGACAACAAGACATACTGTATATAAACAACAAATACTTCCTCTATACCAAACCAAGGCTTAACATTTTCATACCTTCGAAGTACATCCAGCTTGTTACTTTATCCATCAGATCCTAGGTTTATTCTTTCTTCCTCTTTATAACTGGCTTGTAGGTCAGCCTCATACCTTAGTTTTTAGATATCAGGGTTTTGATGTTGTGCACATACTGTGATGTCAAACTTTGATGTCAACAAAAAATATGAATTATTCAATAAATGTTTCTTTCCGATGGTTCAAGGTTCTTTCAATGACCATGAAGCTGGTGTTAATGTAGCTTAATGCTAGATTCTTCTGGTTGTCGTCGACTTATCGGACAAGAAAATTCTTCTTTACTTAACGTTGATCGGATTAATGATGGAAGTGCTCTTATCAATCAATTAGCCCAATCCTGTTTGCTTGTCGCTCATTGGCTAATCCACGTGAGCAGCACCTGTTTCTCCCAGGTGTGCGGACCGAGAGACAGGAAGAAGCCCTGTCTCTTGTCCAGTCTTGCTCAGCTTCTGTCCGGGCGTGCCAGCTACGGAACGGTTCCCTCTCACTTCAAAACCATGGAGGTGCCAGAACCGAAGAAATTCCGCCGCTCCTGCTTTTTGTCTCACCTTGCGGACGTGCCTCTCGTAAAGACGGCTACCGCAAACGTCCAGACGTTTTACACCGAGACAAAGGAACGCTCGCTGTTGTTCCGTGCCTGGGCCAGCATGGCCGAATTGGTGATGATATTGGCGATGTGGGGAGCCAACAAGACGGTGGGGAAGTGGTGTCAGGCCATTCTGCGTCATGAAGGAGAAGGTAAAAGGTTTACTGCTATGTTGTTTTAGTTGTTGACTGGCGCTCCGTTCTCAAAGCAAAGCAATAGAATTCTCCTAAAGCAAGCCTAGCTAGTAAATTAATCTAGTTGATAGTATATAGTCTAGCCTGGGCCGGGTGTCATCCTCCGTAGTTTCCGCCGGCTCCCTAAAGTTTCACAACAAATATTGTGTCGATCTAGCCTTACTTATTTGACGAAGTTTTATCACGAGCAGTGCACATGTAAATATTTTTCACAATCATTCTTGCCAATTTTTCTTCAGCTCAACTGGCTGCTGCCATCGACACCTATGCATGCGTGAAACTGCAGCAATTGGAGGTTAAATTCCCGGTCCTGACCAAGTCTGCCGATGTGGTAGGTGTGATGGGCACATGGCCAACATGGCGGTCTTTTAATCATTCTTACAGGAGAATGACGTAATCCATAATCGTTTGAAAACATCGGATCTCTAATGGAGCATGTACATATACAATATTTTTCGCATTTTACCAATCCCTTCACCTGTCATTAGGTCGCAAAGAAGGCTACACAGAAGGTGCTGTCCGTAGCATTTCTCATTCCTCGCTGGATGTTGGAGACAAGGCTGGGGAAGATCGCCGTATTTGGACTGGATAAAACCCTGCAGTTGTCGGTGACGGTGGCCGACCTGTTACAGCCGGAGGGGGAGACTGAAGAAGACGCAGCTGCCACGGCGGAAAACAAGTCGGTAACTATTGAAAAGGTTGGTGGTGAGGGTATTTATTTCGTGTTAACTCTTCTCTCATCTTGCATCTCATAACATTCGCAAAAGCACTTTCAACGTTTCAAACAAACGTTGAAAGTGCTTTTGCGACGTCGACTTACTTTCGATCTGCATAATGCCTATGATTACCTAGAAGTAGCCAGTACATGTAGAAATAGTATTCCTTTTTTTTCTGAAATATTACAGATGATGCTGTGAAGTGCACATGGACGTAGTGTGAATGAAAGAAGAATGTGCCGAGTGGCAAAATAGTGTAAAAGATGTCGAACTGTTGCGCAAAGAGGGAAAATCCTTAGAAGTACAGTCTGTTCTGCGATGAATGTAGCTGTTGTTATAGTGTGATGATTTCTTTAACAGACCAAAGCCCCGCCAGCCCCGGAACCCGACTTGACCGCTCTCGTGACGGGAGTTGTGCGGACGACCGCCACTTGTGCCCGCGGTCTGTTTCCCACTCTGTACGGCTGGTTCATCCTGACTCCTCTCCTCCTATGGGTAAGACCAAGCCTGCGTTTCCTTATTTTCAAAATTATATAGCAATCGATTCGTAGAAAAACTGGAGATTTCACTTCTCTCTGCGTCGCTAACAGATGAATGCTCGTTGTGGTGTATCCTTCAGGTGACCGTGCTAACCTGGACTCGACAGGCCCTCCGCTTCATCCGCCGCCGGCCACGCCGCCCGTCCCGCCGCCGGAGCCACCGCCTGGCCGCCAAGGCCGACCCCGACACCAAAGCCAAGATAAGCTCCCGCCGTCGGATGTCGCCACGGAAGCGCATCCCGTCCCTGACCGAGGCACTCGCACATTACATCCCGAAGAAAGCCTTCTCCATGCTGGGACTGACCACTCCGCCGGCCGAGATGACCATGCCGCTGTTCGGGACCCGCCTGCCTGAACCTGGAGCTAGTAACGGTAACTGTAGAAAAGTCAGTTTGGACAAATCTATCCCGTTACAAAATCGCTGCAGATACGGTAATTGTAGACGTAAAGATGTCGCAAGATGTAAACTTTTTTCCCTGCTTTTTTGCTTAAATCTACTGCTCAACTGCTAAAAAGTGACTGTGTGTGTGTGGTGTGTGTGTTGTGTTCGTGTGTGTGTGTGTGTGTGTGTGTGTGTGTGTGTGTGTGTGTGTGTGTGTGTGTGTGTGTGTGTGTGTGTGAGAGAGAGAGAGAGAGAGAGAGAGCATGAAACTGAAAATTTCAAACAAGCTTCGTTAAAATGCAGCCTACATGACGTCCGCTCAGACCCGGCAGTATTTTTCCTAGGAATAACTGTGATAATTCTTTTTCAGAAGAACTCCGCGTCAGTCCCAACATGGAGGAAGGGGAGAAGCGGAAACGGTCAACAGGAAAGGATGAAGACGAGACTTTCCTGACCCTGGATCTGGAGAACTACCGGTCTGATGACGATCCGGATTACCAGGTAAGGCTTGCAAATTCAAGTAGGTCAAAGAGCTTTGAGTTTAACAGTTGGTTGTCCAAGAGAGCTGTCATTGACATATGAAACATCTTTAGAAACATCTTGCCGCGCGCGTTGGCTTGTACATTTTGTTGTATACTCGGGTAAAGCAGCCAGGAACAAAGCTAGTAAGTTGTAGTAGTTACCAGCATACATTGATGATGAACCCAAACATTTCTTTCAGTCGGAGTCGTCCTCCAGCACGGACAGCTACGAGTACATCTCCAGCCAGTCTGAGGGAGACGATGCCGAGGAGGCGGTGGAGGAGGCGGCCGAGGAGGCGGCGGAGGAGCCGGCGGAGGCTGAGGAAGCACGGGAGGAGCAGGAGGAGGAAGCGGGGACCGGGAAGGACTCGGGCGTGTGTTCTGCCACAGCCACGCCCACGGGATCGGAGAGCCCAGAATCCAACAAGGTGAGGCGGACGGACAAATAAGGGAAAGAAAGGTTAGCCTGTAAACCTAAGGCTAGGACAGGACAACTTTGAAGGGAAATATAATACCTCTATGCCTCTTCTTTAGTCTCCACAACCATATAGCCAAATAGATGAAGCTAGGTAGTTGGCCAGGATAGTTAAGCCACCGTAGAGTTAATTTCCCCGCAGGTGGGGAGGGGTGGGGGTTGAAACCCTCGTTGTATCCCCCTCCCCTGGCCGGTCAGACTCTATTCTTACCGAATTGTACCATTCTAACTAACCTCCATCAGGCTAGGGTTGTATGGACCGTAGAATTCGACAAAAAGGGGAAATGATTGGCCAGGAGAGTCAGTCCGTGGGAGGGTCCGCGGGAAAATGAACTCTACAATGGTTATAGCGCTAACGCTGAACTCCCCTGGCAAATTATTTTCCTCTATTCGTCTAAATGTTGCTGATTTTGAACCCGCATTGTTAGTCTGATGGAGAATTTTCAGATGGAAATACTTGATGTATTAAACTGCCCTCTATTGTTATTTTACCTATGGCTCAAATATAGCAGCTGTCTACCGACGCTCCGCGCCCAGCAGATTCTGAGGAAAGCGTCAGCAAGATCTGTCCTGCCGACAGTAGTCAACCGACAGCGACTTCTAGCGAATCGGTATAATTTTGCATTCTTCTTTGTAATATTATGATCCCGGTTGCGTCCACGGTGGTCACTAAGAATAAACTAAACTATGTACAGTGTATTTCACATGTAGCTGGCAGAAATGGAAGCGTCTGTTACATGATAATGCTTATAAAACGTTTTTACATCTTTTCAGGTCAGCCAGGAGTAAAATGCAGATCACAAGGCATCGATATGGTCGAATACTGTCCGAAACTCTTCAGAGAATGAGTCACCGAGATATTGACAACTGTCCTTGATGTACCACTTTTTAGAATACTCATGAACGATACAAAGTAAATCTATGAGAATCTGCTAAGATGTCTCTTTGACGCAAAATGAAAACGATACTACGGATATCATTAGATTTGAAGTATGAAAGTATATTCTGTCAAGATGGAGAGGTGTGAGTCATTGAAAAGTTACTCTTCATTAATCAAGATTGTTATATATGATCAATAAAGCTTGTCAGACTTGAAAAGTAATGCTGCATCTGATTCTTTGCTTGTAATTACGTGGAAAATATCAATTTACTTCTGATTTCCCATCGTCATGAACTTGAAGACGTTTGACTTCTGACACGCCCTGGTAAAACATCTTTGGCCTATAATTTAAACTTTAAAAACATTTTAATGTCTCAAGTTTCTGTTACTGAAAAGCAAAATTAAAAAAAGTCGAGCATACTATTTTGAAACCTCGGTTCTAACACGGGAGGTTAAATCAGAAACCTTCATAGTTGTAGTGATGGACTGTGACTGACTGAGGGGACTGAGCTGCGTATTTAAGGCTTTAAGTTGTGAGCATGCAAAAAAATGACATGACAAATGTCTTTACCCAAACTATTTACATGGGTACTTGTAAAACAAGTGGTATGCATAAACTGTAGCTTTGTAGCGTGCACCGGATTATATCGATGTACCATCTTGTTAAGTTGTGGTTTCATTTCTGATCAAGTACACGTAATGTTACATCCTTGATGGAAGCATTAGAAACTAGAGTCCAACGATCTCATATCTTCGCCAAATGATGTTAATTTTTATGACTGACAAAGATGATTCCTCCTGATTATGCAAATAGGATCGTCATTTGCATGAATTATATCAGTTGATCATATTCTCCATGAAAAGACAGCCGTATCTTAACAAAGAAAGCCTTTCAATCATTTCCTCATAGATTATGCAAATGAGGTCCTTATTTGAATAAGTTATGTTTAATCAAATCTTTATTAAATATCAACATGGCAGACGTGCCGAAATGCTTCAGGCACGTCTGAATTGCATTGACATTTTATAATTATTAACATATAGAAACATTATTACAATACGTAGATTAAAAACATCATCATCATTTAAAAATCATCATCATTAAGAACACGTAGGTTAAAATAATCAATATCTGCCTGTGTTTCTCTCGTTCTCAATTACATGTCACAAGCTTGAATAGTCCTATAATGTAATGCAGCTTGTTCTTGAGTTATCCTCTTTTGAATATTTTCAAAGAAATGCCTCTGCAGTTCCTGAGCAACTCGCTAGGGGGCCCAAACATACGTCACTTCTTTCCCAGTGAAAGACCTACCTACCATCCAAATTTGGTGACCCTAGCACTTCCAGATCACGAAATATCAAAACCGGAAGTTCAGCTGCAGTACCATTAGAAGCCGCTAGGGGCCCAAAATCTAATCATTTCGAGATGCTATCAAGACCTACCTACCTACCAAATATGAAGTCTATCCATTTAAGCCTTCTCAAGTTATCGTGTTCACAGACACACACACACACACACACACACACACACACACACGAACGCCTCTGAAAACATATATAAACCTTCTTGGCGAAGGTAACAATCGAAAAACATGGCCTCTCTCTACGTACTAGGTAACAGTTAACATGATCAGGATTTTTTTTACCGAGGAGGATTACTTAGTTTTACAAACTGCTGCATAAAGGAACCTGGCAGGTTTTTGTGCCAAACGGAATACCCCATGGCCATATTCTGCCGTCATCATGTCTATTCTCTCCTAAGTATTTGTTTAGGCGAGGCAACGAGGTTTGCTGGTCATCCGATGTCGTACAACGCATATCAATATTTGTAATCTCCAAGCAGATGTTGGGGATAAACATATCGTAACGGTTTCTGACTTCTCTGACAGCCAGCCCTCGCGCTGTAGAAGATCTTCAAATCCAACTTCTGTTTGGAGATTGCATTCAAACAAAGTTAATAACGTTAAAAATGATATATGCCTACATGGACCCGGGTCGTCTGATTGAGACTAATGCATTATGCCAGGCATAAAAAAGGTGTTGTGCCATTAAAAAGTCATTATGGCACAAAAAGGAATTTTATTTCAGTGTTCCTGTCAGCTCTTTCTTCTCGCAACTGGAGGTGAAAACAGCACTTTAACGTTACAGTTGGAGAAACATTTCAACAGCGTCCCTCCCTCCAAAGTGAATGGTCACTTCCCACATTCTTTAGTGTGACAACTTCCGGGGAGGAGATACAAAATTGAGCGCGCGTCTTGCATGCTTGTCTTATGTTTAGGAAGAAAGTTTCTTCGCCCACTAGCCCGGCAAGGCACTGTCAGCCGCTGTTCCGCATCACAGAAGATATATTCTGGTCCCCGAGAAGCCGCAAATGCCCAGAGCTTGACCTTGCGACATTCTACATCAAATTTCTGTGGTGTTTTATGGATTCCTGCCGACCGTGACCAACAAGGTACAACAAACTTCGAATTCGCG